ACAATTTGCAACAGTTGGCTAGCCTGGCCGAAAAAACGGATTTGGAAGCTGCCACTGGTTCGGTTAATCCGAGTCCCACGCCACCCTTTAGTATTGCTGATCTAATTACCGGTGATTTTAATTCAACAAACGCGCTACACAATTTGCAAGCTTTAGCAAAACTTACCTTAAATAACCAAGGTGAAATTTTGATTTATTGATTTTTTTTTTTTTTTTCAAAATTATTTATTTTATTTATTTATTTGCGACACGAAAATACGATTATATATCGATTCTTATTTCAGGATGGGCTAATTACCTTAACCAATCTTCCCGATATTTCCCAACCTACGAATACGAATCCTTAATTAAAGGTAACATTCCTTTTTCTTTAACTTACGTTCCTGTCAAACAAAAAATTTTCCTAAACGATTCCTACGAAAGCGTAATTAATAATTAAAAAAAAATTTAAAATAATAATAATAATAATGAAATTTTGAAAGGGATGAAATTACAATGTGTTTATTTTAGATGTTGTATCAAACGGTTCTTTGAACGGTGGAGCAACAGTAAATGGTGGATTAGTTTTGGGACGTGGAGGAACATCACCGATTTTGGATCAAGTACCCAACAATCATATATCGCTTAACGCTGCATTAGCATCATTAAATTCATCAGGTTATCCCAATTTATCAGCGCCTAATTCTCCAATTATTCCAAATACCGGTAAAACTTAAATTTTAATTTAATTTAAATTTAATTTGTTCTTGTTCGATGCAAGTCGTGTAAATTTAAATTTATTTATTTTTTTTTTTTTTAAATAGATATGAATGGGTTGAGCACGCCCACTTCTGGAATGAATTCTTATCCTCATCCAAGAGTGCCAAACGCAAGACTAAATTCAATGCAAATAAGATGTAAATTCGGACAACTCGGTGCCGGAAAAGGACAGTTTAATTCTCCTCACGGTTTTTGTTTAGGAACGGAAGAAGATATTATTGTTGCCGACACGAATAACCACCGAATTCAGGTAAGACAACAAAACACGATATAGAAATGCAGATGCAGAAATCCTAATATTTTTTTTCTCTCTCTCTCTCTCTTCCCGAAAAGGTTTTTGAAAAAAATGGTACGTTTAAATTCCAATTCGGAAATCCGGGAAAAGATGAAGGTCATTTGTTTTACCCACGTAAAGTTGCCGTCGTTAAATCTTCGGGAAAATTTGTGGTATGCGATCGAGGTAACGAAAGATCTCGAATGCAAATATTTACAAAAAATGGACATTTCGTCAAAAAAATATCGATAAGGTAATATTTTTCGAGCGTTTTTTTTTTGCTTTAAGCTTTTCTCTCTCTCTCTCGCGCGCAAAAAGTAAGGAAAGTAAATAAAAAATTAATTTTCAGGTACATAGACATAGTCGCCGGTTTGGCTGTGACATCTCAAGGTCACATAGTGGCCGTCGACAGTGTTTCCCCGACGGTTTTCGTTATATCCGAAACGGGAGATTTATTAAAATGGTTCGATTGCTCCGATCACATGCGCGAACCTTCAGACATTGCAATAAATGGTGAGTTTCATCAATACATAGCTCAAAAATTTGCCTGGTATCTCGATGAGAATTTAAAATAAATTTTTTAAGCTAAAAGTTGTGCTTATAGGAGGTATTTAAATTATTCACCTGATAATTTATTTTTTATTTTTTTTTTTTTTACACGACTAATTACTCTGCGAAATGCTTTGGGTCATTAATTAATAATTTTATTGTGACGAAAAGTATATTTTCGATGCATTTTATTAAGTTTATTTAGATTAAGTAATAAAGTACAAATTTATTAAAAATAATAATAATAATGATAATGATAAAAAAAATTGTATTTCTTATGATTGTGATATTAGACGTTTAAAAATTGAATTTTTTTTATTAATTTGCTCATTTTTACACATTAGTTATTGTTTTTTTTTTTTTTAATTTATTAATTTATTAATTTATAAATAAATTTTTTTATATAAAATATTTATTTTATATATATATATATTTAATGCTTTTATTTTAATTTTTAACTTTGATTATTATTATCCTGCATATTTTTTTTTTTTTTTTACACCTCGATGTCATTCTTACATGCATGTATGTGTTGTAATCACCGAATTATTTTAATACCTTAAATATCCTGTTAATAATAAACTTACGAATGATAGATTCCTGATAATAATAATAATAATAATAATAAATAACCGTAATATATTACAGAGAAAGAATATTACGTGTGCGATTTTAAAGGTCACTGCGTTGTCGTTTTTTCGGAAGATGGAGATTTTCTACGGCGAATCGGTTGCGAAAGTGTAACAAATTTTCCAAATGGAATCGACGTTTCCGATGCGGGAGATGTTTTAGTCGGTGATTCACATGGGAATCGTTTTCACGTGGCTGTTTTCAACCGTGAAGGAACCATGTTGTCGGAATTTGAATGTCCCTACGTAAAAGTCAGTAAAAATAAATATAATTTAAGGGATGGAATGGGATGGAATGGGATGATAATTTTTTTTTTTTTTTTTTTTTTTCATTTTAGGTTTCTCGATGTTGCGGCCTTAAAATCACATCGGAAGGTTTCGTTGTAACCTTGGCCAAAAACAATCATCACCTATTGGTGTTAAACACATTGTACATCATGTAAATTAATTAATTATCTTTATTTAACGTGTGTGAAACAGCGAAAGAAAGAAAAAAAGAAGAAAGAGAGTGAATCAAAGTATGATGATGATGATGATGATGAAGAAGAAGAAGAAATTTTTTTTTTTTTTTTTTTTTTTAAATTTTCTTTTAAGAAAAAAAAGGAAAAAAAAAAAAATCAACATATCTTGTTTCGAGTGGGTGTGTAAGTCTTTCTTGCGCATTTCTTCATGCCTTCGTCGGATTTTGTTTATAATATTCTGGCCAAGACACGAAGCAATGCATGCAATTTTTTATATTTTTCAAGCACGATTTTTTTCGCTTGCCTTTTTTTTTTTTTTTTTTTCTCCTCCGTATTTTTTTTTTTTTTTTGCATAATAATAATAAAAGTTTTACTTGTCTTACTTACTCTACTGTATGTAAACCTTTTAGCCTACCGAATTTTTTTTTTTTTTTTTTTATTCTCTAATTGTTCTCAATCAGGACATTGTTTTTTTTTTTTTTTTTAAAATATGACAATATATTTCTTCCACATCGAATTTTTTTTTTTTTTTTTTTTTTTTTTAAATTTTTTTTTTAATACGGTAGTTTGTATTAAAAAAAAAAAAAAAAAAGGAAAAAATTGTCATTTTAGTTTTATTATTATTATTATTATTATTATTATTATTATTATTTATCCAATTTATATTTTTATTTTGAAACTTAAAAAAAAAAAAAAGTAAAAAATTTTAATTTTGGGTTTTTATTATTATTTTTATTTTTATGTGAATACAATAATTTGGAACGTTGGAATCTTTTTTTTTTTTTTTAATTATTACTATTATTATTATTACTATTAATTTTAATTATTATTATTATTATTATGTTTTGTTTTAATTAGTAATCGAATCCGGTTTTAAATTACTTAATTTTTTTTTTTTTTTATTTTTAACAATTCAACGACTGGGTTGATACTTACAAAGAAAAAAAAAATTTTCTTTTTTTAATTAATTAATTACCTGCTTCGTATACCAAATAATATTATTATCATTATCATTATTATTATTATTATTATTTAAACGTTTTTAAATGAGGGAAAAAAAAAAACTGAACTAACAACACTTTTAACAAATTTTTTTTAATAAGTTTTTTTTTTTTTATGTATTTTAAATTATTCCTTGTACTGCTCATCTATGTAATAATAGTAATAATGATAATAATAAAACTAAAAATAATAATAATAATATTTTTAAAAAAAATAATAATAATAATAAAAAAAAGTATTTGTATTGTGCTGTGAATGTAAAATTTCCTACTATTATATAAAAAAAAAAAAAAAAAAAAAAGGCGGTCAGTTGTTGTCTTTTACGGGGAACCACTTTTGTTTCTCGTAAACACAGGCTGGCTGGCCTTTTAGTTCTTAGTTTTATTTTAATTTTTAATTTTAAATTTTTTTTTAAATTTTTTTTTTTTTTTTTTTTTTGTATTTTTAATTATAATTAATTTTTCTCTATTATCACGTGCGTAAATATTATTATATACACGCACACGTGCGTACGTACACGCATACGTACACCACACGCAAACACACACGTGCGCGTATATTTTTTATTTATGTACGTGATGATTTTTTTTTTCTTTTTGGGTTTTTCCACGTTTAATAACGATCCGGTATTAATTTTAATAATAATAATAATTCATAATAATAATAATAATAATGATAATGATAAGATGACGAAGATGAAGAAGAAGTAAAAGAATGGAAAAGAAAAGAAAACAATAATTTTTTTTTAGTTTAAGTTACCGTCACCACCGAATTAAAAATCGTACGTTTCGATAATAATAATAATAATAATAATAATAATGAAAAATTAATAAATTAAATACATACATATATGTATAATATTATCATTATTTTATTAAACGGTTAGATTATAAATAAGGTGTTCTAGTCAATTTTTTATGTATAATTGCTAAGTCGTGTAAATAATGATAATGATAGATAGCACCTTAAACGAGGTTAATAATTTTTGTAAATAAAAATATATATATAGATATGTAAACATACGGAATGGTTATGTTTATGTATTGGTAAAAACAAACAAACAAACAAACAAACACGTGCGTATATACTCTTGATTGATTGATTGTTAGATAGACAAACAACAATAAATAAAAAAAAAATTGTTTTTCTTTTTCTAATTATAATTATAAAAAAGAGGAAGGATTATTATTATTATTATTATTAATCGGAAACGAATCTGAAAAAAAAGGAAGAAGAGGGGGGAAAATAGTAATAATAATAATAATAATTTCAATTTTATTTTATTTTATTTTATTTATTAATTAAAGTTTTTTTTTTTTTTTTTCTGTTTGTTTTATTTAAATTTTCTTTTTTTTTTTTTCTTGTTTGTTTGATTCATTATAAAGACATTATTAGCACAATTTATTTATTTTTTTTTTTTTTTTTTGTTCTTCTTCGTCTACGATGAATCGATTTATTTATTATTATTATTATTATTATTATTATTATTATTATTATTATTATTATTATTATTATTATTGGTAGCGATAGTATAAAACATGCTGAAAAAGAAAAAAGAGAAAAAAAAAAAAAAAAGAAAAAGAGGAAAAAATGTCAAAAAAATTTAATTAATTATGATGTTCAATTTAGTTTTTAGATTTTTATTATTATTATTAATTTTTATTATTATTATTATTATTATTAATATTATTTTAATTGTATTCTCTAATGATCCCACAAAAAAAATGTTTTTTTTTTTTTTTTTTTTTTTTTTTTTGCATCTTACGATGTAGTAAAAATAGTGTGATTGTTTTTTTTTTTTTTTTTTTTTTTTTTATATTATTTTCATCTAAGATGTTTTTTTTTATTTACAAAACATCGACGTTTTTAATTAATAATAATAATAATAATAATGATAATGATAATGATGATGATTAAAGTTTATTTAAAAAAAATGTCGATGTTTATATTAAATCAGATGATTTATTGATTATGTATGTATATATTTATATACATATATATATATATTTATTTTACATTTTGTAACGCCAAATTTAACAATTTTAATTTTAATTTTAATTTTTTTTTTGTTTAATTTTCATTCTCTCCACCACATTTATTATTATTATTATTATTATTATAACTGTTATTGTTATTGTATATTATTATTATTATTATTATTATTAAATTGTAGACTGATATTATTATTATTATTAATGATGATGATGATGAGATATTCTCTTATTTTTATTTTTTTGTGTCTTTTGATTTAGATTACAAAACAAAAGCTAGTTTAGTTTTATTTTATTTTATTTTTTTTCGTGTTTGTTTGTTTTATAACAATTATTATTATTATTATTATTATTATTATTATTATTATTATTATTATTATTATTAATATTATTTTAATAATTTTTTTTAAAAAAAAATTTTTTCCCACGATTTAAAAGTGGAACGTACAGGGTGATTGATTGATTGATTGATTGTTTACGTTTTACTTTTAATTTTTATTTAAATAAAAAGAAAATTTATTAAAATAATAATAATAATAATAATGGTAATAATAATAGGGAAAGAGAGGAGGAGGAGGGGATAATTTTCTGCAAAATTAATCCAGTTAAAAAAAAAAAAAAAGAGAGAGAGAGAGAGAGAAATTATATTTACATAAATATATATATATTTGTTATATAAGTTTTGTTAGGAGTTACCAAAAAAATAAAAAAAAAATTTAAATGCTTTATTAATTAAAATTATTGACAAAATTGATTAATTTTATTATTATTATTATTATTATTATTATTATTATTATTATTTTGCAAAATAATTTAACTGGAGTGACGTAATTAATTAATTAATTAATTTTGCAGGGAATGAATGAATGAATGAATGAATGAATGAACGAACGAACGAACGGAAAAAAAAACGATAAAATTTTGTTTAAAAAAATTTTTTTTTTTTTTTGTTCGTCGTCATTGTTAATTATTTTAAAAATTTAATGGAGAAAAAAAAAAGTTTATTTTTACCTATTTTATTTTATTTTATTAATTAATAATTAATTAATTAATTAATTATTTTTAAAATTAATAATTAATAAATAAATACATAATATAAATTTATTTTTATGTAACAAAAAAAAAAAAAAAAAAAGAAAAGAAAAATTGTAAAAGCGAACAAAAAAAAAAAAAAATTTTTTTTTTCTTTTATTCGTCTCTTCACTTAAAGACTTATATATATATATATAATAATAATAAAAGAACGAGAGAGAGAGAAATGAACGATTAATCGATTAATCGATTTATCGATTATTATTTCTCTCTCTCTCTCTCTTTCGTTCTTCGATTTACATACTTTTAAAATTTTTACATTTTTTTTTTTGTTTAATTTAAAAATGTGCACAATTTAAATTTTTTTTTTTTTTGTTTTTTTGTTCCTTATAATAATAATAATAATTATTGATTGATTAATTGATTGATTGATTGATTGATTGATTGAGTTCGTAAAAAAAAAAGAAAAAGGAAAAAAAAATTCAATGGTTTTTCTTTAAATTGTTTTTTATTTATTTTTTGTAATTTTTTTTTTTTTTAAATGAATAATAATTATGATTTTAAATTTTTTTTTCTGATTGATGATAATGATGATGATAGTAATGATGATGATAATGATGATGTTGATGATGATGATGATGATGATGATGATGATGATAAATTTTTTTTGTTAAAATTTTAAATAACACGTCGTATGTGCATGTGTTCATTTTTATATATATATATATATATATATATATATAGTGTTGTATCTATATGTTTTTTTTTTAATGATGTCGTGTTTGTGTATGTATGTATATATATATACAAAAAATAGTACACACACACACACACACACACACACAAATACCCACACATTCACACATTATTATTGCACATTATTATTATTATTATTTTTTTTGCTTTAGATATTTTTAAATAACAATGATGATGATGCTAGTAATTTGAAAAATGAAT